TGCAGGGGGGCGGCTGAGGGGCGGGCTGGGGCCCCGATGCCCGGGACCGAGTGCAGGGGAGTCGGAGTCCCAGGGACATGGCAGTCCCGCAGGCCGCCAGCCAGGCCACCCCGGGGCCCGCCGGCAGTTTGGGGACAGGTCAGCAGAGGAAGCGGTGATTCCAGAGGGAGAGTCTCTGGGTGGCCGCTTGGGGGTAGGGAATCGGGGCGTCTACATAGCATGAGCCGGGGACCCCATCGGGACCAGGCCCCTGGGCTGCAGAGGCGGAAGGCGTGCCGGGAGTGGAGTGTTGGGTGGGGGCGGACAGGTGAGCCGGGAGTCCGTTGGGGGTATCATCGGTGAGAAGGATGAGGTGGGGTGCAACCCCACAGAGGTTTCTTTGAGAGAATAAAAACCTCCGCTTCCTGCCCCGAGCGGATGGAGGAAGTGCCTGCTTGGTGGAGGCGGTCACTCCCTTCCACTCCTTCGGATAACTGGGAAAGATGTGGGTTCAACTCAAACGCTCCCCATTGTCTGGATGAGAATGGGGAGAGGAACGCTGAAATTAGAATGCTTAGGTGAAGGGCAAGACTGGCAAGAGGGAAAAAAGGTGGTGCTTTTAGGGGAGGGGTTCTGCCACGTCTTAATGGGCTCAGGGAAGCCTAATGTACCACGTAGGCTAGACCAGAGGGAGCCCCAAAGGGGCTGCTTCAGGACTGATACTATACACTTGGGCATCCGACTCAGTGGTCTAGAGGAGATGGGGTGGGCATTGGTGGATCCCTTGGGGTCTGGAGAGGCAGAGTCGGGCTCTGCAAGTGCAGAATTTAGGAGAGACTGGGTGTCCCCTTTTGGTGAGCTGCACCCTCAGGTGTCTGGCAGTGGAGGTAGCCAAGGGTGAAGGGTAAGGATGTACCACCAGCCTGGGTACTGAAGTCCTGGTGAAATTAGGCCACAGTAGCAAGAGTGTTAGGAGTGGATTGGTGGTTGAAGGGGAAGCTTAGGGTAGTCATCATTTCAGAGTGGGTTGAGCCTGTAGAATTCCAAGGAGCCTTCCTTTTGTTTCCAGACTGGCAGCTAAAAGGATAGGAAGCAGAGATTCTGCCTGCAGTGGCCCACCACAGATTCTGCCTGGGGTCTTCCAGAGAAGACTAGACCTAGGTTCCAGCATGCTCAGTGCTGAGTCAGTCATTCACTTAACTGCCATGGGCAGTCCCCACAGACCTAGGCTGAGTCAGGTGGACTGCCTGCTGGGGAGCTTTTCCCAGCATGTGTCCCTGCCAGGTTTGGGAGCACAGTGCCCGTGACAGCCAGTGTTGGGGTGGCACTGCCACTCAGCTCTGCTCGAAGTTACCTGAAATGGCCCCACAGTCCAGCTTGACAGCTACTTCAAACTTCTTGAGGCCCTACCAGTTGCAGAATCCTTTAAGAAGTGCTATGGTAGGCAGACAACACATCAGCAGACCCCGCTGGGATGTGGCTTAGTGGGAGAGTGTTTTTCTAGCATGTTGGAGGTGCTGAGTTCAATCCCTTGCACTGCAGCCATAAGCAGGAGCACTTGGCTTGGTTAAGGTACCATAGGATGGACTTTGAGGTACCATAAAGTGGGATTCCCACAACTCTTCCCTTTTCCAGATTATCACTGGGGGCCTCTTAGGTCCCACTGTAAATAGTAAACAAGATAAACCTAGTACCTGCCCTTGAGTTTCACTCAAATCAGACTGAAGGCCACTAAGGGTGTAAATAATTAAGGTCACCTCAGAAAGCAGGAAGTGCTGGAAAGGAAATTGTATGGTGGGCTAATCCTATCTGAGAGGTCAAAGAAGGCTTTTCTCAGGGCAGTATTTGAACTGAGACCAAGATGGCAAAGGGCCTGTCCTGTAGCATGTCCTGTGGAACTGTGGGAGGACTGTCAGTGCAGACGCCCTGTGATAGGACCAGCTTGTCATGCTGAAGGGCTAAAGTAAGAGGCCATGGGGTGGTGAGGTGCTCTCAGGGTAAAGGCCTAGTGTCTGAGTTCATCCCTGGGACCCGCATGGTGAAAGGAAACAACTGACTTTCACAAATAGCCATCTGACCTCTACATATGCGAAAAATAAATAAATAAAAATTAAAAAAAAATTTAGTGCATAAGGGAGAGTTAGTTGTTAAGGAGATGGAGAAATACCATGTTTTTGGCCAAATGTTAGGGGAAGCCATCAAGCAAGCATCTGTTTTGAAGCAAACACTGTGTTGGATGGATGGATGGATGGATGGATGGATGGATGGATGGATGAATCCATGCTTTGAAGAGAAGGGAATAATAAGATCTGACCTGTGCCCCAGGACTGCAAGAGAGTGCCAAGTGCTGAGAGTTCTCAGAACCTTAGGGTAAGCCGCTGTGGGCAGGCCTCTGCCTCCCTGTGTCCTTCAGGTGTGCTCAGGCCTAGGTCCACCTGCCCATACACTGAGCCTTTTCATTAATCTGCACCCAGGAAACCACTGTGGAGCTTGGAGTTCCTGTAAGGCTGAGCTTGGGTTTTGTGTCACTGCTGCCTGGTCCAGGTACCAGCCCCTTCACCCTTTTGCTGCTGGGTGATTTGACACAGGTCTCAGAAACTGAGACAGCTCTCCACAGACCAACTTCATATTGTTGTGTCCAGGCCTGCAGGATGTCAGACAGTGGCCCTTGGCTCCCAGGTCCTTCCTCTCACCCAGCAGCCCACATGCTGCCCTGACAGTTAACTAGACACCGGGTGCCAGAGGGACATGCCCTGGCAGCGTGCCACTGTAAGTTTGCATGCAGGGGCATGGCCTTGGGTACATCCAGCTTCTGGAGGTGTCACCATCTGGGCAGTAGTAATTGCTGTCTTCCCCTCCATTCAAGGATGTTCCCTAGACAGCTGGAGATGGGAGATAAGAACCCAGAGTTCCTAGTAGTCCCCTGAGGGTCCCTTGACTCAAGTGCCTTTCTACTCTATGGGCCTACCTTCAGGACAGCTACTTCTAATGTGCTCTGCCAAGGACGAAGGCTGTGCCAGCGGGGGAGCTGACTGGGCCAGTGCAAGATGGATGTCTGTTACTTTGCTGTTTTTTTATTTTTTTTGAAGCAGGTTCTCATATAGCCTAGACTGATCTCAAACCCACTTTGTAGCATAGAATGACTTTGAACCCCTGATCCTCCTGCCTCTGTCCCTCCAAGTGCCTAGCATGCCCTTGGTTCCATCCTCAGCATCAAAAGAACAGGTGTGTGTCACCACTCCCTCCCAGCAGCTACTATGGTGTCAAAAATTGCCAAGTTGGGGGCTAGAGAGAATGCTCAGCAGTTAAATGGGTTAAGCGCACTTGTGGTTCTTCCAAAGGACCAGAGTCCAGTCACCAGCACCCACATTGGGTGGCTCACAACTGCCTGGAATTTCAGCTCTAAGGATTCAGTGCTCTCTTCTGGCCTCCGTGGGTCATGGCATATACACACAGAGACACATAAAAATAAACATAATCCCAGCACTGGGGAGGCAGAGGCAGGCAGAGCTTAGAGTTTGAGGCCAGCCTGGTCTATGTAGCAACTTCCAGGCCAGCCCTGTCTCAAAAAACACCCCACCATCTCAAAAAGAAATAGGGAAGGGCTGGAGAGATGGCTCAGCAATTAAGAGCACTGGCTGCTCTAGCAGAGGACAGAGGTTCAATTCCCATCCCCCACGTGGCAGTTGTTAACCATCTGTAATTCCAGTTCCAGGGGATCCAGTGCTTTTTTCTGGCCTTCATGGGCATTGCAGGACATGGGTGCAGATACATGCAAAACATTGATATCCATCAACTAAAAGCAATTTTTTTTAAGTAAATAAAAATTTTAAATCTTTTAAAAAGAATTGCAAGTGAAGTTGGGTGATGGTTTTGCTCCCTGACATTGATGTAGGGGCTGGGGAGATAGCTCAGTGGTAAAGTGCTTGCCTGACACAGCCCAAAGTTCTGTCTCTAGCATTGAAAGCAACAACTGAAAAGCTACATTACCCTCCCATCACCACCACCTCCTTCTCTCCCCTCTTCAGTACTCCCGCTGTGTTTCACACGCTTATCCTGAGCTGTAACTACAGTAGTTGGATGGCAGTAGGACACAAGCTAGGAATTCTCTGCTGAATCCCAAAAGAACACAGCATGTTGGGAGAGGGGAGTGTCCTCGTAGTGACATTCACATCACAGCTAGTGTTTCAGGGCACCCCAAGCACTCTGCCCCACCTCTCTGTCATCCACCCAGCTCCCGACAACCCAGGAAACTAGCAGACAATGGAGGGACAAGCCACTGAGAGGTGGGGGTCAGCCTGGAGCTGGGGCAGCTTGACCCCCTGACCTCCCCCAGCAGCTCCACTGCCCAGGAAGGAAGTGGACAAGGCTTGTCTTGAAGTGTTTAATCTCGGTGAGAAAGGGTGCTAGTGAGAAGTGCCTGCACGCTACAGCAGCCCTGTCTCTTAACTCCCCTGGCCACTGTTTGCCCTTCTGTGTGATGTGCCATCCAGCCAGAGGCAGGCCTATGGGCTTTAACCCCATTGTTTTGGTTTGTGACAGAGCCTTAGTGTGTAGCCTATGCTGGCCTCATTCACAGCAATCCTGCTGCCTCAGCCTCCCAAGGGTGGGATTAGAGGTGTCACCGCCTTACATGAGGTGTTTTTGAGGTCATTCTGTGCACCTTACTCTGAGTAACTGGTCTGCGGCTCCCTACATGGCCCCTCCAAAGTCCTCTTGTCCTCCGTGTCTAAACCTTCAGGCTGCTGCTTTTCCTTGTGTTTTCCTT